TTCAACGTTTATTTATTTTTGGGACAGAGAGAGACAGAGCATGAACGGGGGAGGGGCAGAGAGAGAGGGAGACACAGAATCGGAAACAGGCTCCAGGCTCTGAGCCATCAGCCCAGAGCCCGACGCGGGGCTCGAACTCACGGACCGCGAGATCGTGACCTGGCTGAAGTCGGACGCTCAACCGACTGCGCCACCCAGGCGCCCCCTGATCTCAGTCTTAAATGATAAAATGTAGCTATATGCAGAGGGAAAAGGGCAATTCTGAGAAAGAGCACACTATGAATAAAAGGCATTAAAAGCGTAAAAAGACAAGGAGAGAGCCAGGAGCTACGAGCAGTTCACTCTTCAGAAGCACAGTGATGGAGGTAGATGGTGTTAAAAGAAGAGAATACAAAGGGTAGTGAGAGGACTGTGTGAAAGGACTGAATTTAATCTTTGCACAAAAGGGGCTTCCTGATGTGGCCAAAAGAGGAGAATGAAAGCCAAACTGGCAGGATTGTGAGTCCTTTTCTTGAAGGCACTTGGTTCCGTGAGTCAAAAATTAACACTAATTTCAACAAAAGACATTTAGAAAAATGTTAAAGAGCTGCATGCAAAACAAGAACAATGTCATAGAGAGATCAACCAACTCTATAAAAAATAGACAATTCCAGTGATTTTTAAATTGTTCAAGAGTATTGAAAAAGAAGGAACACTTATGCTGCAGACAGCATAACATTCCATCTAGAACCTGCCAGGATTGCGCAGAAAAAGAAAAGCCATACCAGAAATCTAAAAACATTGACGATACAAAATCCTTTAAAAAAGGAAGGGGAGTGCGCCTGGGTGGCTCAATCAGTTAAGCATCCAACTTTGGCTCAGGTCATGATCTCACGGCTCGTGAGTTCAAGCCCCTCATTGGGCTCTGTGCTGACAGCTCAGAGCCTGGAGCCTGCTTCGGATCTGTGTCTCCCTCTCTCTCTTCCCCTCCCCCGCTAGCGCTCTCTTTCTGTCTCTCTGTGTCTCTCTCTGTCTCTCTCTCAAAAATAAGTAAAAACATTAAAATTTTTTTTTAAAAAAGGAGGAGGAATATCAAGGGGACTACAGCAGAACATTAAATGAGTAACAGAACATACAGCCAAGTGTGGTTTATTCTAGGAATGCAAGGAAGATTAAATAATAGATTGATAGATCTAAGGTGAAAAGTTAAGATTACTTCTGTAGACATTAAATAGGCATTTCACACAATTGAACATCTATTCTTAATTTTTTTAAATCAGCAAATAGGATAAATAGAAATGTATAGCAAACATCCTGCTTGATGGGGAAACTCTAGAAACATTAGCATTAATGGCAGGCAAAATTCTGAGTAAGATGGTCTCCGTGATTCCCATCCCCCTGGTATCCACACTCTGATATCATCCCCTCTCTTTAGTGCAGGTAAACATGTGATTTGCTTCTAACCAATGGAATGTGGCAAGGGTAAAGGGATTTTGCAGATATAATTAAGGTCTCTGATCAGTTGGAAAGGGAGATTATCCTGGGTAAGCCTGACCTAATCAGGCAGGTCCTTTAAAAGAGGATTCAGTCTTTCCATAAGAGATTCTACTGCTGGCCTTGAAGAAGTAAGCCACCATGCGAGAGGGTAACATGGCCAAAAACTGCAAGAAGCTTCTAGGAGCTGAGAGCAGCCCCCTGCTGGCAGCCAGCAAGAAAGTGGGGCTTCAGTTCTACAACTGCAAGGCGCTGAATTCTGCCAACAATCACCTAGATTTAGAAGAGGACCCAAGCTTTAGAAAGGAACACAGCCTGGCCAACAGCTTGACTACAGCCTTGTGAAGTCCTGAGCAGAGCACCCGGCTAAGCTGTGCATGGACTCTTCGTGCACGGAAACTGTGAGATGATAGATATGTGCTATTTTAAGCCACCAAATTTGATGTAATTTGCAATAGAACCCTAATGTACCGTTGAAGTCAGCTTCAAGACAAGGATGGCCAATATCACCATTATTATTTATCAGTACAGACAATGCAAAGAGGCAAGAGAAAGAAATTAGTGGTAACTTGAAAGGAAGGAAGAACTGAAAACATATAAGAGTAAAAGTGGGGAGAACTTACCTTAACAGATACCAAGTACTGTTGTAAAGCTGTAGTAATTATGGCAGTGTCAGAATAGACAAATAGACCTGAGAATACAATCGAGATCCAGAACTATCCCGTGCATATGGAATACATATACCCCATGTATATGGGGATATAGATAGGAAGTATTATAGATTAGTACAGTTTAATAAATGCTAGTTAGGAAATTGAGTCTCAAATCAGAACTACATATTGAATCCCTGCTTTATACCATGCAACAAAAATTAACTCTAGACCAAATAAAAACCCAAGTATGAAAAGCAAAACTTTAAAGTCATTATTGAAAAAATAGGTGAAAATCTGTATGACCTTGACCGGGTGGGCTATGATTTTCTAACACCTGCAGGACACAAAGAAGAAGAAAAAAATGTCATAAACTTGGCAATCAAGGTCATTGTTGTAGGTTTCTAACAGGAGTGGTTTCAGTGGAGTCATATAATCAGAGTCTCAAAGTGGTTTAAGGAGTAAATAAACAACCAAGAATTAAAAACAGGGAATGTTGACTCCTGTTTTGAGAAATGTCAAAGGGAGAAGTAATCTGAAGCCATATAATATTTTGTACAGAACACTTGGCCGCTTGGAGACCTGGATTTGAGCCCCTGATTCTACCACTTACTACCTGAAAGACCTTGCCCTAGTCCCTTAATCACTCTCTTGACTCACAACCTAGCATGCTTTCACTTATAAAACCTTATATACCCTCCTTCTTACCTTTTGAAAAATATTTAAATCACTGCAGTACAGAGTGCTCAGTCTCTCTCTTCCGTGGGTCCTGAGTTGTTGAGGGAATGAATTGTAGTGAGTGCCTCACAAGTCAGGGTAAGCAAACCCTTCCATTATACATATGACACGTATAATTATACAGATGACGCGTATAATTCTGTTGGCTGGTAGCTGTCCATCCTTTCTCCTAACTTGTTCTAAGAAAGATTTAAGACCAACATAGAATCAGACAGCTGAAAGGAACGAATGATTCCAGTCCTGTTCTTAGACAGATGAGGAAAACTGGAGACTCAGAGGAACTCCTCGGGACTGCACGGTGAGTTACTGCCGGTGCTGCCTCTAGGACTCAGACCTCCTGACTCCTGACCTTGGACTCTTTCATAGTAAATCATGCTGCTTTCTGAAATCTTTCTGACCACCCCAGCATAAAGGGCTCTCTCCTCTCTGAACACCGACTGTATTTGTTGTCTAAACAATCTCATTCAGCACTCACTTACGGTTTACTATTTCTCAGTTAGTTTTTCCTATCGTGGGCCCGTCTCTCCAACCAGCCTGCAGGTCCTTCAAGGACTAGATTAGAGTTTTCTCTAAGTAAGTGTTAGTAGATGATACCTAATCCTGAGCAAGCCCCTCAACTTCTGTTGACCTCAGTTTCCCATTTATGGGATGGAGATATAGCTTATATCCTAGTACAAGTACCGTTAGAGCTAAAATGGCTCTACAGCAAATCCCACTCTTTGACCTACTTTGTTTCCAAACCATCTTCCTGACAACAAAATCGTAGTCCAGTGAAATAAACAACATTGTTTAGGGTTCATCTCATCAGGATTGAACTTGTATAATACTTGCTTATGAACCCCACAGGGATATTGTGGGAAAGAAAAAAATAAGTATATGAAAGCATTTGAGAATGGAAAAAGCATTATTCAAAGAGCAATAACTCCTTGACGGGTCAGGGCAAGAGAGGTATCTCTAATGTGCTTTTAACAGGATCATTCTGGACAGGCAGAGTGAGCCGCCCTGGCAGACCCCTGATGAGTATAGAGCACACTTCATGGAGATGCGAGTAATTGGCTTGGAGCAGAGAAGAAATGATGAAGTAAAACTGCCTTCAAACAGTTACTAAATTAAGGGTTATTATGGCAGATACAATTCTGTAGCAACATGTCTATAAAGAAGTAATGGAAAGGAGCTATAGCAAGAAATTTTAAAACCAAAAACTGCACTATGCCAATTATGAAAAGTTTAATTTGTATTTTGTATAAATTATTTAACAAAGTATGTCATATAAAAATTCTTTAAATTTTTGTTATCCCTACGTTACCATGGTAACTTTCCAGTCTTACTGCCAGAACTTTTCTTCCTTAAAAGACTCAAAATTGTGTTTTAAGAAACTTAGCAATGTGTAAAAGAGGCATTCACTAAATACGCTGTGGGCCTTCTCGTCGTGTAAATGTATTGCACGTTGTAAAATATTGCTCGTTTCGGCTAGTGATCGATCTCCAGTGATTCACACTTGTCTTTCTCCTTGGTAGTCCCTACGTAGCCCAGATTTACTGAGTGTTAAAAGGGAACAGCTCAATGCTGTTCTCATCAACAAGCTAACTTAGTGCAGGTGACTAAGTCCCAGACCATATTTCAGAGTTAGAGAAAGTTAGGTTCCTCGGAGAAGTAGCCAGCTGGAACCATTTGTTATTTATCGCCCATCACAATCTGTACATATTTTTACGAGAGGTCAACTCGTGACCAGTTGTTTTTAGCATATGAACTAAATCAGGTCGGTATGCTGACCCCCGAATGGTGAGTGATTATTTAGAGAACTCATACATGTCATAAGAACATTTCTAAAATATGTCTTTGTCAGGGAAAGTTGGCGACAATTGTGATTCATCATTAACTTATGTGAATTAATCAAGAATCTAAAACATCTTTGGTTGTTTTAAAAATTGTAAACATTTGGAAAAGGAAGAGAAATAGAACAAGGGAGGAAAAAGCACTTGTCATCTCACAACCCAAAGGCAATCTTAATGATACTGGAGTATATTTTCTTCCAAAAATTTTCCGTATACTTTTTCTGACGTTTTCTTGAAAATTTCGAACATACAGCGACGTTGAAAGCATTTTACAGTGAACACCCCTACCCCCAACCTAGATTCTGTCGTTAACATTGTACTACAGTGCACGTGCTTGTCTCACACCTGTACATTTCCCCATCCTCTCTTTACCACCAATACACCTTATAGTGTTTCATTCATTTCAGAGTAAGTGCAGACATTAGCATGCTTCTTCCTAAATATTTCAGCATACATATCATTTAGAGTTCAGTATTTTACATAGTTTCTTCTTCTGAGGTAAAACTTACACACGACGATACACAAATCTTAGATGTACGCTTGCTAAGTTTTGACAAATACATACACGTGTATAATGCAACCTCTTTTAAACCTCAAAATTTAATTTTGTTTTTTCCATTTAACATTCTAATGTATTTTCCTTGTTATTACAAGTCCTTAAAAGTATAATTTTAATGACAATATCTGTTAATATACATTTTTTAATGTTTATTTATTTTTGAGAGAGAGGGAAAGAACAAGCAGGGGAGGGGACAGAGAGAGAAAGAGAGGGGGACACAGAATCGGAAGCAGGCTCCAGACTCTGAGCTGTCAGCATAGAGCCCGACAGGGGGCTCGAACTCACAAACCGTGAAGTCATGACCTGAGCTGAAGACAGACGCTTAACCGACTGAGCTACTCAGGCACCCCTGTTGATACTCTAAATTTAACTCTTTAATTCATCTTGAAATTATTTTGGTATTTTTATGAGTTGGAGGTTTGAGTAGATTCTTTTCCAAGAAGCTAAGCCCATTGTCTCGTTGACATTTATTATTTCTTTTCTCTTTCACTGATGTGAATTGCTTTCCTATAATTCTGACTGTCTGATCTGTTCCATTAATTTTTCCATATGTATTGTGGCACTTTCCATCATAATGCCTCGATACTCCTCACAAGTATTAATAGCCAAAATAAATGTTGAATTCTTATATTGAAGAAAATGGGTTTGTTTCAGCCTCTGTTGTGAAATTGGGGCCCAGTGCCTGAGTAGCCTCGGGCCCAAAGCTTCTCTATGGTGTTTTGGACCCAGGTTTTTCATTTGCAGGCTTCCAGACCCAGAAGTTGAGTGGGAGCACTGTTTCTCTCAAGGCCAAGTTCTGGGTCCCTGGCTTGTATATATCTCCTCTTCCTGCTTGTACACGTTCTCCCAACTTTGTCCAAGTGGTCTAGGCTAATAAATCAGTGTAGTACCACTACACAGTTTCTTAAAATACAGACTAAATTCAGCATATGGGTATTTCAAGTATGTATATGGATATTAACTAACCTCATACCAATTAAGATTGTCGGTATCAGTGCCATGATACATTTAGCACCACAAGCCATGAACCTCTGCATTCATCTGTCTTATGTGAACTAACCTGTCTTAACTGAGAAAGGAGAAAGTCTACCAACAGAGTAATCGTTGTTACCATCTGAGTGATTCCGATCAAAACCCACTTCCAACAGAGCTGTCCACCAGAGGTAGGAGTGGACTGGGAAGTAGAGAACTCCCTACTGCTGGCTTTACTCAAGCAGGGCTTTGTGTCAAGAGTGTCTAGGAAAGCACTCCTGCTCTGAAGGATGAGGCTCAGAACAGATCATTTCAAGTTAGTCTGGTTCAGCCCCTTGTTCCTTGGCTCCTGGGTTATGACTCCATGCACCATTTTTTTTTTTAACAGGAAATAAAGGAAAAAAAGAAATTCTGCAAGATGTATATGGAGGACCTTGTGAAGGAAGCCACGGACATCAACATGAAGAACGAGGCTCTGCAGAAGCTCTGGCCGCAGATGTTCATCGAGCTTGTTAGGGACGCAGTCATAGAAATCCGCAATAAAAACTCCTATATGAAGCTTTGCCTACAGCAGATAACTGACCAAAAATAGAAATGGCTTGTAGTTCCAGTTGATTTTAGCAGCTCTGTGTTTTTGAAGGTTGAAAATAAGTAGGTTAAACATGTTAAAACGACACTGGGCTGCAAACTACAAAGACTAGCATCAAAGCATTATTGCCTACTGTTCTCATAGCTGAAGGTTAGGAAGGAAGGAAGGAGAGAGAGAGAGCGAAAGAGGATTAGCTTCCTGTGTAAGCTGACCAAGCCACCTTTGGGAACTAGGCAGTCTCTAGAGATAGCTGGGCCTTGAGTTGGCACTGCGTCTGCGGTTCTTGCTTCGACCGGTGCCCCTGCTCTAGCCCAGAGCACGCAGCGTGCTCGCTCCTGCTTCGGCATCGGTTGCTTCTACCTACCCGCAGCTGATAGTTTCCAGTTATTTGCCTTTTTATTTTATGTCATGATTTCAAAGCCAAAAATATGTTCTTTTTTTATGAGTGAAGAATAAACTTATTAATAAATTAGTAAAAAAAAAAAAATCGTCTGTTTGCGTCCTTCCTCCAGTCAGAATTGTCATATTTATTTTATGTTCCTTTTGAGCTGAGTAGGAGCCCTTCTCTTCATTTATGTAGGAGGAGGCGCCGTTCTTCCAGGGATGTGTCCTCAGGGCACCACCGGGACTCGTGGGCCCACTGTGGGCAGAAAATATGAAAATGAGTACAACGGGGGCAGGAAGAAAATGCTCTGTCTGAAGGAATCCCAAGTCAATGTAAAATGCAGTGACAAATCAGTAAGTCTGCTTCTCTGAAAGGTGTTCCTTTCTGTTGCTAGCCACTCTGGGGGCTCTTTTTTTCTGGTAGGCCTGTGTACCTGTACCTCAGAAGTATTAGAAATTCATGGGTGAAAGGTTCTAATTTTTCTGATTCCATTTGAAGTTCCAACAGGTAACTAAGACGTAAGCAGGGGTTTGCCCGAGTTCACGCTGGTGAGGAGGCTGTTGTGAGCCCATTACCATAGCTGGAGATCATACAACTTCAGCAAAACAACCTTACAGGTCAATAAATTGGAATTCTCCAGTTTGCTCAGATTTCGCCTGGCAGGACCACCAGGATGTGGGAAAACAGCGGAAGTTACAGGATGACAGAGATACAGATGTATTCCAGAGTACATACAGAAATGCTTGGAAGGAAGCTAGGTAAGTTGTTTGTGCAGTTCTGAGAAACACCCACCTCCTTAAGAGCTCGCCCAAGAGGCAGTGGTCAAGGTTAGATGGTTAGCATAATGTTTCAGAACGTGACCTTGTGAGTCATGCTGTCCTGGGTTTGTATCTTGGTGCTCAAGCTACCAGGTTACTTGTCTATGATCTATCTGAACCACGCCTGCCTCATAATACTACCCAGCTTATAACAGTGTCGTGAGGAGCAAATGAGATGAAGCATTCAAGGCATGTATCATAATACCTGGCACACAGTGAACACCAGTAAGTGAAGCTATTCTTCTAGAAACAGACTGAACCACAGAATGGGTGCTCCTGGACGGGAACAACTATTAGGGTTTCTTGACGCTCCTGCAGTCTCTCAAAATTAAAATCTGAACCATCTCTCATCTGGCTGGTAAAGGGTGATTTCTCT